TTCATGAATTAGTTTGTGTACTAACTTAATAAAGACTATTGGCGCGCCACTGGCGCTTCTGTACATCAGAAGGGACACACTGCAATGATAACAGAACACACCTGATGTAGAGTCTGTTAAAACTCCCTTTGTCTTCATCTAATTAGAGCAGTCGACACATATCTATTATCTTAACAAGATTATTCCCATCATTCTGATACCTTATCGATGGATGTGGTGAAGTAGCCAAGTGGTTAAAGCGTTTGCTCGTCACGCCAGACGCTCGGGTTCAATTCCCCTCCTGGCTAAAAATATGTGTGAAGGCAATTTCTGGTGTCCTCCGTGATATTGCTGGATGCGTAAAGTCCTAATGGTCATTCAAGAACGACATTTATGTTATCACGCCATAACGAGGCGATTGGTGTGTTGGATGACCGCCTGTATAATCTTTTGTTTTCACAGATTACACAAAATAATTTTGATAAAAACTTACAACAATTACAAATGACGAAATTTGAGGCGATAGGTCATAAATATTTCATCATTTATGAAACATGAAACGCGAATCGAAGAGGAACCTTTTTTGGTATTTTGTCGGTTTTATTATAATTTTTTAAAATGGAATTTAAAGTTTTGGTTGCAGGTGTCATACGCGCAGTGAGCGCACTCTACATCAGCTTCCTGGTTCTCACGTTGGATTATTAGCAAGAGTGACAACCACGTTGATTTTATAATTGTTCTCCAACTTTCGGAAAACTGTTTTTGGGAATGCATTGGCACGTTACATGAGAAACGTCTTAACTATCTGGCAGTGAAACAACGAGCCTGCCTAGATTTAATGGGCCTAGAAAACACTTGATAGCAGACTCTCTCTCTCTCTCTCTCTCTCTCTCTCTCTCTCTCTGTGTGTGTGTGTGTGTGTGTGTGTGTGTGTGTGTGTGTGTGTGTGTGTTGTTAACCTTGTATTGTTTCAGATTTGCAAACAATGAACAAAAATAGAATTGGAATTGAAATGAGAATTCCTTCGCCTTTTCCTGCAGTAAAGTTAACTCTTTGTATTAGAAATACATACTTCAATCTAAAAGTCATTTATAATCAAAGTGTTTTCGTTTCGACATTCGCAAATATGAGGCGGTGGAAATGAGTTTGTTTAGAGACACTTTTGCACCCAAACAAGTATTCACAATTTCGTTCTATTAATGTGGCCTGATTGGTAAAACCATTTAAAGGCATAAATCACAAACAAAATTATATTTCTCTGTTGAACGAAGTGAGGAAGGGACGTTTCCCGTTGACTGAGATGACGTGAGTGAAATTCACTAAACCCGATTTGGCTCCAGCAGGACGTGAAGGCATAAAGCAGGTTTGGAAACTGGACGGATTCCTCAAACCAATTTGGCACAAGTGCGCTTCCACACAACAAATTTACACTCATGGATCTCCCGACAATGTCCGCAATTTGTTTCAGTGAGAGCTTGAATACCCTGGAATCCGTGCCACGAACAGTTTAAGGCTTTTGGAATAACAAGCAATTGCTACGCTGGTGTTGGGTTTGCTTCAAAGGTCTTCAAGTAATACAGGATAAGGCCACGTAGGTTTAGAGAAGCAATGTGACCATTCGTATATTTACTGGAGGAACGCATAATAAGAAGGTTCAAATGATGTCTTTGTGACTTGACGAGGGACTCCTGGAGATGCATACACGGTACAACCTAGTTATAACGCCATGTTTTTCTTGAAACGTATTTCCGCACAATCAGATGACCCTTTTGTAGTGCCAACCTTGTTAACAAAAAATGTGAACAAAGGTCCCAATTCCCTGTCTGTAACAGAAATGGTTTTTTTGGTAATATTAACCAAAACGTATCATTATCGTTCATCTTTTGGAAACAAGTCTCTTCGTTTAGTGTATTGATCTCAGTTCTTTTCACAGCAAATCCTCTTTTGTTTTTTTAGGGGAAACTTTAAAAAACACTAACTTTGATATTCATTACAATATATTGTTCATTAGCTTAGTTCAATTGACACTCAGGGGGCACGGGTGGCCCAGTCGTCTAAGGCACCGCGATTCGCTGTGCAGAGTTGCGTCCCTTGGGCACGCCAGAAACCTATGATTGTGGGTTCGAATCCCGGTTCGCCCTGATTATGTTTCTAGGTTTGTCAGCACCATACCCGTGCTCGTGGGTTTCACCGAAGTGATAAACGTCTGGGACCTGCATCACTTCGGGCTTTTCTCCCACATTAAGCTGACACGGCGTGATATAACTTAAATACTGTTAAAAGCGGCGATAAACCCTACTCACTCACTCAATTGACATGACTCAGTCTTTCACATACCTGGTTATAATGCCAACTTGTTTATTATGCATATTTTCTTGTGTTCAAAGATGACATTATTACCAGGTTGTACAGCATTCAGCTATTGCCTAGGATTAATGAGTAAGTGGACAAAAAATAATTTAATACAAAATAAATAAATGGGCCACAGTAGATGTTACGAAAAGGATACATAAATTCGATGAACGATTAGCAATTCAACCTTTTGTTATGTTATTACTTTTGTTGTCCTTGCATGTATATATGTATGCTCTCTGCCTCACAGCATTCATTCACCTGATGAAGGAGTGAGCATATAATCCAACACGTTGTGTTTCCTCATAAAAAAAGAAGTTCGAAAGTCAATAGAACCAGGAATTAAGAATAAGAAATAAATAACAACCCTCATGTTTTAACAAAACCAAGGAGCCCAAACAGACTGTGAATATAGTGACACAGACTGTTGTTGATGGTTGTGCTCATTATCGTATTGTGATCCTTTGCCTAATGAGCCGGATTGGGACGGCTGCCCATCAAAATGTCACACAACTACGTATGGTAAAAGCGTCTGCATAATAATTCAGATATGTCCCTAAGGACACAACTAACTTGTGTAAGGAAAGGGACTTAATTACAGTAATTACCAAGTGCATTTCCATCCATGTCAGAGCAACTAGCCAGCTAATGCTTTCATTGGCCTTCACTGCCCATGGTGATTGGAATCGAGACACTGGTCAAGAGATAATGACCTGTAAGATGGCTTGGTCAGATAATATGTATATGAAAAAGCAATTGCGAAAGTGTCACCGATTTCGCAAGACATTACAGATTCTAAGGCGGATATGTTGTGATGACTGATCGATTATCGACCGCCCAGAAGAGCCACGTTTGAAAGAGTTTCTTAGTCAATCCTGTTATTACTCGATAACAACCATCTGTGGTACATGAGTTATACAATAACATGAAAAACAAACAACAATAGGAAGTTTGACAGTTTTCTTTTTAAGTAGATACACTTTGTAAACAGTTTACGATATTTGATTATATTTTGAGTATTAGTCATGAATGCATTTAGCGCCTACGGTTAACCGTGAATTACATCTGAATCAAACGTGGAACTCGTCACCAACTACATGGGAGTCACACAATGTACATATCGTTTGTTCTCGTGGTGTATTTTCCCATTGGCTTGTTTCTATTGGTGGCTTGTGAATACCAGTTCTAAAATACAATAAAGGCAAAGAACAATGATCTGTAAGATATAAATATTTCTCAAAGTACGGAAAATATTTAAAGAGTCTATAATACTGGGCTTAAGGTGCAGTTTTGACATCACTCCTTCATGGGTGAAAAAAGTGTTCTTTCAGAACTTTTTTCTACCGTTTTTATAATCCAATTTCGATTATACTCACTATGGTTCTCAAAGATATTGGGAAGGCCACAACTACATGAGAAGTGTTTAATATAGCTTAAGCAGCGGTAAAGTTACCAAGTTTGCTGCGTTCTAGCATATATTTCAGCGTAAATGATACAATCTAATTATTAGGATCAGGTAATACGAACTTGACACAGTATGATGTGGCACGTTTTTCAAGTTTAATGCTCAGTGGTTCTCTATCTAATTCGTCGTACACTACATAAGTTGGTGTGGTTATTTCATATGTACCCTATTACATCTGCTTTCTCACAGCAACACTCGTAGAATAGGTTCGATTAATATAATTCTAAAAGTAGAAAACTAGACAGTCAAGAGGTAATTGCAAATTTCTTGCTCGTGTCAGTAGTGTCGTTAAAGGTTCCATGCTAAAGTCGGCAGCATGATATTATGTTAAAGACCCATGATTCTTCTATTCTTATGTACTGTAATTCCCAATAACATGTCCACTATCCATAGCTGTCCACTATCTCTATTTGTTGCCGACCAAAATAATATTTCTCCTTGCATATATATTCCAACTATCACAGTGGGATTCAAACTAAACATTTTTGTTCTGAAGATGGGTTGTACTTTCTAGCAAAAGTACAGTATCATCAGCATGCAATAATACTTTAAGTTAACAAGGGGGCGGTTGGGTAGCCTAGTGTAAGAAGCGTTTCTTGTTACACTGGGTACAGTGTTCTATTCCCAACGTAAACCATTTCTATAGTGGAGGAAAGCAGCCGTAAAAATACACAGTAAATAGAGTGACAAAACCCTCTCCCTAATCATATGAAATAGCTAAAAGCTTTTATAACATATGTTTCGACTTTTTTGGGCGACATCATGAGCAAGTGTTGGTGAGTCACTACCCAATAGTGATGACACCATGTGTATATAAACCATGTGCATCAGTATTTAACACATGCTGATCATGTTTAGCACTGTAAATGTGTTTAAGAATGTGTCTATTTTTTCTTGTATCATATGTTCCCTTGTTGTTATTTTCTGGTGAACTACTGACTTGCCATTGCGTGTGTTTGTGACGGGTGGGACAGGATACGCTCACATTTTCGCGAACACCTGGTATCATCACTCTTCAATAGTGATTCATAAACACATGCTTATGGTATAGTTGGAATGGTACAATGGAATCTGCTGTTATCAGATATTTCTTATGATTATGGAAAGGGTTTTGTCTCTTCTATAATTATTATTTTGAAGCGTTTTCCGAATGGCAAACGTTCCAAGACGCAAAGTATCAGAGATAATGAAAGCTTTTTTTTACCTGCAATGGCCAAATGCATTATGAAGAAGTTCATCCGTGTCTTTCGACCATTTTTTGACAGCTGTATGGCAGCTAGGACGCACGAGTTTCCAATGACGATGAAAGCAAGAAGCATCGACACCAACACCAGCTGCGGTGCCTGCAACAAAATGGTAATTTCAATAAGAAGTCCAACCAGATGTGGATCAGTTGTAGCCAGTCGGGCAACATGCATCTTTATCTCAGAACGATGGCAATCATAAATTAATAACTGCTTTCATAGTAAAGATTTGAGAAAAATGTTTTATCAGTAATCTACGTATTATGTTGAAACACTTTGAAAACGCATATTCGAAATTTGTAATCGTTGACAAAATGGCCACAAAAATGAAATTAAGTTCAGTGTATTTGGCATGAGATAATCAAACACAACAATACCATCTTGTCACAGTCATCACTCTTTGTCATGCGAGTAAATATTTACTGATTTAATCGTTTCCTCGTCCTTTGAGTTAAACTTGATTATGCGCTTTCATTTTGTGTCAATATATTTTATAACATCATGTCTTGGCAGTACAAATGAGCAATTGTCTCAACCTGCCTTCAAAGATTGAAGTTATAAAATCGAAATCAAGCTTGTGAGCGTTATAAGATGATAACTGTATATTTCTACTGAACACTTTGATCACGAACAGATAGTGATCATATAATACATTAGTGTACGTCAGTGAGTGCATACTGTTTTACGTCCGCAGCAATAATCCAGCCATTTCGTATGAAACAAGTGTAGTCATATAAAACTACAATCTCGCATTCCTCTCGTTAAAATCTCTCCACAATTGATTCTTTGAAGTGACGATGAAACACTGACACTGTTTTTGGCATATGCTAGTCAAGCATTGAACACAAAAGGAGGAAGCGCAATTCTGTTAGGGTGAAGCTAATGCTCCTTTGGGGGCAGTACGGTACAAATTAATTCTCTAATGAGGGAAATAGAGGCCTTAGATCCCACATTTCTAGCGCTACCAAGCATACTTGTCTCAGCTGTTCATAAAATCAAGTACAAACAAGATGGGAAACAAAGGACAATGAAACATATTAATACTAAGATGGAAATGCAGTTTCATTGACAAACAATCGTTGCAGACATAATCATTATTTGACCATGCTTTGGTCTTCCCTAGAAAATTGCAACTGTGATGCACCTTTGACAGAAAGAACCAAAGCGTATTTCTGGTATTGGAAACGCTAATGTTTTACCGCGTAGAGACCATAAACTGTAAACATATTATCATATCCTGCTCAAAATAAAACCACTACACTGTTTTTGCACAATTCATCAAGAAATAAAATAATACTGCTACTGAATTACAATTTAACAATTCCCCAAGGAAAGACATCTTACAAAATGTGCCAGTATATATTACGTTCATGTCAGTACGATTTTTCAACGCACGTCTATCCGGTTTCTATTTTGCTTCCCCGCAAACTGGAATGTATTTGGAAGGCACAGTCGATCCAAATTGACTTTTTAAATAAAACAGTAGAACAGTGAAATGGAATTTAAAGAAACGAAGAATTAAAAGAACTATGAATACAAGTGTGAAAATCATGATACAAGGACAGACACGTAGGTTGTTGCTCTTGACCATTCTTATGGTGTATAAGAGGGCACGGGTGGCCCAGTCGTCAAAGGCGCCGCGATTCGCTGTGCAGAGTTGCGTCCCTTGGGCACGCCAGAAACCTATGATTGTGGGTTCGAATCCCGGTTCGCCCCGATTATGTTTCTAGGTTTGTCAGCACCATACCCGTGCTTTTGGGTTTTACCGAAGTGGTAAACGTCCAAGGCCTGCATCACTACGGGCTTTTCTCCCACATTAAGCTGACACGCCGCGATATAACTGGAATACTGTTAAAAGCGGCGTTAAACCCAACTCACTCACTCACTCAATTATGCCGTATAGTGACACAACAAGGCGAAGTGGTCGGTTTATTGATTGGCGATATCCCGGAAGAATTTGATCAAATATCAAATTTGTTGTATCAATCAGAAAACAGAATTGAAAATAGCAAACAGCTATTCATATTCCTTCCAAGTATCGTCTTTGAAGAGATTTGATGATACATATGCAAAAGGATATTGAAAATAATTTTGTTGAAGGTTATTATTTAGTATCATTCAAAGTTGAATGCTCACATATCAATAGTCCAAATGATTTTTAGCATTCATAGAAAAGTTATTATATCCACTTTTAAATAATATATGATCGATTTACAAACGTGCCAATAATGCACTAAAATTGGTTTGCTCTTGAACTATATATAAACACTAAAATTGCGTAGGCAATGAATATGTCTGGAAACAATCTCATTGGATTTATGACATGTAAAAGTTAGTCCTTTTGTGAAAGCTATCAGCATCGAAACCCAAAACCTGACTTGAAATAAACAAGGTACCGTCATGTCTGGCGAACATATGGACATCAAACATCAGCTGCTTATTATGAAAAATTAGGTTTCATTAAATATCATCATCCAAAATTGCAACTTTCCAGCGATATAAAGAGAATGTCATCGCCACTGATGATGACATATAGCAGAATCCCAGTGGCAGACATTCATTGTCGGAGATAATTCGCATGAATTGCAGTCCTCCTGTCCGACATCCGCTGGATATACAGCGTCCGGGTCAAATTTGAACTCAGACACAGTCGCGGGGGCATTGGAATCAACACCCACTAATTGACATTTACATTTAGCCAGTTTAACGTCAGTCGTTCCATGTCACTGAGTGTTTGGATGCCGTCAGCAATCTCATTATATAACGACGATGTTGTTTATTTTATAATTCCACGTATTAGTTAGTCTGGTCCTGATGGTCCAGTGGTTAAAGACGTGAACAGCAATCAAGGAAAAGATGACACGGTCTTAAATTACGTTGTCGCTTTCGGCAAGCATGGGTCATGGAAGGGTGGGGAACGAAGTGATTTGAGGGGGACTGTCTACTGTTATTTGGGGCACCAGAAGGTCATTTCTTCGTTTATTTCATGCTTAAAAGAAGTCAGTCTGCTTGGGTATCACTAATGCATATAGCTCTGTCCATCTGTGGGTGTTATGTTATTTAAAGCGATGCATAACAGACAGCGTGTAGAATCCTTAAAGGGAACTTATGTCCAAGGAACAGTACTTCCCCCCACGATGCCCACAGGGTGTTAACACAGACAAGAAAAATGAAATAAATGCTTCTTCTTGTCTTTTGCATTAACGTTACCCTCGTCTCATTTTCATGACATACGAGGACATTTGCCTCTATTTTCCGCTCCAATTTACTTCCGTCCTCACAACTGTCTCCTCAGACTTCTCAAAAGGTACTTAACCTATAAACAAGACAAGCTTTTAAACGAGTCGGGAAGAGTGGCCACAGGCCATAGAGTTGATGACCATTTCCAGATTGTGGCTTTGGATTGCAAAACGAATTGAAAGGCTTTCAGGATGTATTTAACAGTCATCATTTGCATGCTGAATCCTTATTAGGTCGTCTACCCGACCGAGTAAAATATTATCGGTTAACTAATTCCCTCCAGGCCAATAGTACACGTTAAGATAGCTGGTGATTGGTTTTTGGTCAGATTGGTAAATTATAGTTCTTAGTTTGATGGAATATGTTAGATCCTTTAAGTAGTGCCAGGGCGACGAAACACCAAGGTGTCGTTCGTTTATTCAACTGTACACGTCATCACAAAACAGGCATCCTTAACACGATCAGCCACTTCTGCTGAAAATGGACCTCTGAGCCTTGGACTTACGTTGACCCGTCGACCTCGCTAGCACATGACCGTCACGTGATGTAAACATCCTAGCTTGCAGTCAACAGCCATGGACGCCTTATCAGACGAAAATGACTATGCAGAAAACTAATAATCTGGTCATGGTAAGTGAGTGAGTGAATGAGTATGGTTTTACGCCGCTTTTAGCAATATTCCAGCAATATCACGGCAGGGGACACCAGAAATGGGCTTCACACATTGTACCCATGTCGGGATTCGAACCCGGGTCTTCGGCGTGACGAGCGAACGCTTTAACCACTAGGCTACCCGACCGCCCCTGGTCATGGTAAGTGATGATGAACGGCGATAGGTCACTACATTGCATCTTATGTGACAAAAGGGGCCGTTTGTGTAAGTATGATGGGATCACTCTGGTGCAGGTACCATCGTGTTTTTGTTAATAGCATGTTTGATAAAGATTCTAAATATGTAACTACGCATATATCTGACTAATGATAATTAAACATAGATGAACAGTTAACGCCATAAATGTCAATCCGCGAGCGTGTTTAGGCGGAGGACTTTACCCTATGGGGACAATGTGCCCCATGTCCAACATACACAACCGTGTCTTCTTTGCGGTTACGGAAAGGGGCGAGATTTGCCGATTGAATGACAGGGTGCACGAGAAAGCATTATCGACACAACTCAAATTAGGAGTTAGTGACGGCCTCTAGATCTGTTGGGCATGGGCAAAATGGTAATGATTTTGAAATAAAACAGAATAATACGTAGCATTGCTTGTAAACACATCGAGCTAACTGGTTGGAAATGACTGTCACAGAAATCCATACAAGTCTTCTGGCAGGCATGAGCACACATCATGATATAGTGTTTGACGTCACATCGCATGCTTGTCACGTTCCACAGTTGCCACTTTGAGTTACCGTATCGATAAAAGCGTTTCATGTCAAGCATACTGAACGACTAAATATGTTTATCAGCAATTTTACCATTATTCACGTCGTCATGGTGCCATAGAGACATGAATTTAGTCCATGAAATATCTGGTTCTTTTAAGTTATTTAACAATGTCAGAGGTCACATCAAATTTGTGTTTCTTCATCGGATTATAAATTGATAATTAGTTAGTGTTAAAAAGACAACAAATTCCTTATGAAGATCTGGGACTCGAACCAACGATCAAAGGTTTGTGAGCAGCCTAAGAGACGCAACTCTGCATGCTTAATTCGAGCGTCGAATACCACTAGGCGACCAGTTCTGTGTGTGTGTTTGGAGAACCAATCTCGTAGGTGTTACTCATATAAATCTGTTTGTCTCCGCAGCGAAAATTGCCAAACCACTCCCAGCAGCTTGAACTCATTTCCAAGCG